TACCAATTTCTTCGATGTTGAAAAAATGTTCTTTACAAAAGGTAACCTGTTTTCTTGCGTACAATGATTTTAATTTACCAAACATAAACCAAGAGCATAAAGCTCATTCTCTTTACTGTCTGCAATAACAGTTATTACTGATTTTGAATCAATTTTTGATCTATCAATATCACATACTTTTATTTTAGCATTTTACCCTAGACTAGGTTTGGGAATGTTTCTAGTAGATGCAGTCTTCATCTTCTTTACCTGCTTTCTCAAGTTCTTCCTTAGCTGTCTTTTGAAACATTTTCAACTTTGTTGATATTCATACCCATTATGTCAAAGCATATATGTGATTCCCCCCTTTTTCCCTTAATTTGAACTTTAGTATCTACTTCTATTGTTAACCACGATTCTTTTTTACATGTATTATTATTATCATCTTGCGATTCTAAATCAACTGTTCATTCAAGATTAGTGCCTTCATCTTTACATGGAAAAACTGAGTTAGCAAGTTCATAGGACAACCACAAATAGCTTTGTAAGGAAAACCTTTGATTCCCTCATGATATGCTTTGTTTTTCATTGCTTGAACAAATTTTAATCCTTCCAACCACTTTTATGTCTTTTTTGTTTCTATCCATGTTGCCAACATGTTCTCAACATTTTGGTTCACCCATTTGACAGAACCTTGCAACTGACTGTGTCTAGGCTTGCCGTAAACTATTTTTATATCAGTCCACATTTCACATACACTGTTTATGATTTGGTTGCAAAATTCCCTCCCATTGTCGGAATGGAGAATGTTCAGGGCTGTAAAAGTTGTGAAAATATTCAGAAGATGATATGTTTCTTCATCAGCTCTTTTACTGTGCAACTTTGGTATGGGACGAATTTTGTACCATGATCTTTATACACTAAAAAGAATTTCATATCACAATCAGGATTGAGCTGCATATATTAGGTCGACTTGGCATCGAGAATTCATTTTGCTACACACAACTGGTTTGAATACAATCCCCTTTTTCACAGTTTTTTGTTCTTTCTGACATGATTCACATAGTCTCAAATATGTGATGATAGATTCTACTATTACATTCATGTACTTGTAATTCAGTTCCTTAATCATACGGGTTCTTCACTATGGCCAACTGTGATATCACCCTTCTGTATGACGTTGAAGATTTCACCAATTGTAACATAATAAAGGATTCCTGATTTTTCTGCCGAAAGTGGTGCTATAAGTTTGTCCTCTCCTCCAATATTTAGAATATCACAGCATTTCAACCTTGTGTAATGAATTAATTGTTTTTGCTTCACAAATTTTGCTTCTTTCGCTTCAATTATTAAAGAAGTGTATTTCTCATTTGTTAAATAAAAGCTTTTATCATGCTTCTTTCACTTCATTTATTAAAGAAGTCTATTTCTCATTTGTTAAATAAAAGCTGTTATTGTGCTTATTTTTTACAGATTCAGACAAAATGTTATGAAACATTTTCCATGTAACATCACTCATTTCCATTCAGCAAAATAAAAAAAAAAATTAAAAAAATCGCAAAATAGTTGAAATGCAAACAAACTGCTTCTATTTTAGATCGTAGACACTTGTTTGAATTCTCTCAAAGCTAGACTGCAAATGGCGCAAATAAGAAGAAGCAGAAACAGAAAAGTGTTGCAATGGAATTTGTGTGCCCAGGTTTATCAGAGTCAATTTAAATCCCTTGTTTTGGGCTTTTACCGGAAGGCATTGGTAATTCCTAGGTTTTGCAAAGCGTAGGTAAAAGTCTGAAATAGAATCATATAAAGCATACTTCGCACTTTTACCAAGCTATTTTGGTAAAAGCTAGGTTGTACTGGTAAAACCTATGATTTACCAGACTTTGGACTTTTACAGTAACATATACACATCAAGAGAAGTTAAAAACTGAATTAGTGTTTAAAATTATTCACTGAGCTAATCTTGTCATTTTATACATTACACATAAATTTCTTAGCATTTAAATTTTTTTTAAATTTTAAAATTAAAAATTTTTTAAATGATATTTTAAAATTTATTGTATATGCAACATTTCTTTTTTCAGGACAGATTGTATTTAATATTCATTTTGCTTTGTTAATTTCAAATTTTCTAAATTCACTTTTAATTTCAGATCTAGAATTATGTACCGACAAAATTGCTTGCTGGAGAGGTATTTTCTGTCATTTTATAAATATCTCTTAATGAATGCTTTGAAGTTTATAGTGAAGACATGGAGGAGTTACCAGAGGACTGTTACAATTTATCTTAACAGGAAAGACCTGGAACTTCAAAAACAAAAGATGATTACAGAGGGAACGTTTTCAGTGGGGAGAAAAAGGGGAAGATAAGATAAGATTATCCTAGTTCTTCAATCCATGAAATTTTTGTAAAATAGGATAAAGCTCTTAAGTAACTATATATTTTAATAGCAAACTACAGCATATATATTTTCAATGGCATTGCCATGTCTTATTTTAGAAAGAATGTAGACAACAACAAATCATATACTGGAAAAATATTAAATGAAATGAAGCCTATTGAGTTTCAAGTTGAATCACGTGGAGTTAGAAATAAAAGAAGGAAAAAATTAATCTGAAAGACAGTTATTTAATGACTTCATGGAAGAACTCTTTATCCAAAAAGATAATATTTCCTCCCTTCCTCTTTATCATTTTCCACTTATGTCGTTCATTCTCCTTCCTAATGATACAGCAAAATTTAATTTAATTTTTATCTATTTAATACTTTACTTATCTTTTTTGTCTTAATTTTAATAATTTTCCAATGGTATTATGGTATGAACTCATGTACATTTTATATTTATTCCAGTGCAGAAAATAGTTAGTTTATGAATGTTTCGGATGATAAACTACATCAAGAATGAATTACTTTTGCAAAATGACGTTTTCTTGCACTCTTTCTTCCCCACCAAAGATATATTTCCCACTATGAAAAAATCTGATGTGTACACCACATGACTTCCTTGTACAGAATATCAAATTATATGCATTTTTTCTTGCATTTTGTTTAAACTTATTGGATTTAATTATATCTACTTCGCCGACAGCGCATAAACCACAATAGAATAAGTGCATTCTTTAAAATTCACTCTTATTAGTTTACCATAGTGACACTCTGGCGCTAGGTTCACTTAACAGTATTATATTTCGTTCATATTATAACTCAGAATGCACAAAATTTGTATCATTTAAAGAATGATCTAATCGTTGGACATGTTCTATTCAAGTACTATAATAAAGTTAGAACGATGTATAAAAGAAATTAAGCAAGCAAAACAAAAAAGAAACAATTTTTCACAGACGATTGAGTATTTCTCATTCAATTAATTCAGTTCTCACTTCACGACAAGGCAAAAATACATAAAAACTCAAAATATCTCTACTAAAAATACTAAATATTAAAAATTAAATTACTAATTATTAAAAATTAAATTATTAAAAATTAAGTAAATCTTAAACTTACTTATTTCCTCGAAAAAATTCCAGAAAGGATTAAGCATGATTTAAAAAGGCGTTTATCTTTGTTGTTACGAAGCTACGTTTCTCTAGATTGGCAACAAATTCACTACTCAGCTGTTTCAAATGTAAACAAGCAATGGCTGCCATCAAAATAGGCTTAACGGCACTTAAACAACTTTTAAATTGTTGATAATTCTAAAAATATTGCATACAGATTTACTAAAGGCATAAAACCCTTAACCGGAAGATAAAAACAGCATAATTCAAAATCATTTTTAAAGAAAAAAATGTACAATTTACAAACATAAAAGAGTAAAGAAACTGAGATCACTGAGCCGGTAACAGAGTGGATATATTTATAATATATTTATTTATATACGTTTTGCGGCAGCCGATTGACAACCAAAATATGAGGTGCACATCTACATGTTACAGCAGTCCTACATACAAAATTTCAACGTTCTGAGGCTACTCGTTTTTTGAGTTATGCGAGATTTGTATGTATGCACAGACGCCACGAAAAATTCTCTGGAGAATTCCTTTTAAATCAGTTTTATAATTTTTTTGGAGGAAAAGAGTCCTTTATTCTGTCCTTACTTGCGGATGCCACACAAAAACATCATTAAATTGCATTGGATAGCGGTCAAAATTGATATTTTTTTTAAATATGATACCCGAAACTTTTTGCAATTACAACACAGTACAAAGTGCGTAAGTTATAGATCATCAATTTAAATTTGGTAAGACGGCATGCAAAAATTATACAATTAAAAATATGAAACCGTAATTTATGAAATAAAGAGCAACTATGATATAAAGGGTATCAAGATTTACAAAAAAAAAAAAAAAAAAAAAGCGCTTAATATTTATTTGTTCACTTTATTAAACATTTCTTTCAATGTAAGTTGTTTAAGTTGCTTCGTTTTTGTGCTAAACGCGCATGCGTAAACACTAAACACACATGCATGAATGCATTACGCACATGCGTAAAACATACAAAAAAAAGTTTGTGGCTTTGAGGTCCGAATTATAGATCATTCTGGATAACGGATGTCTGGATTACAGACTTTGTACTGTACTTCCTTTTTACTTCGTACAAGGAAGTAAAAATGTGAAGTGATCACTGAGAAAGGTAAGGCATATATCTAACAGTCAAACTAACCTTCAGAATCTTTTCTTTTTATTTATTTAATCTATTACCTCCATTTCATCAATCAGATGCTGTTTATACTAATAGTCAGCACTATCACATACCCTTAACTTTGCATAATGTAGGAAAATTTAACTTTTGGCTTTTAGTTATTAAGAAACCTTAATTTTAGTGGTGAATTTTTACATTAAGTCTTCTGACATCAGCAAAAAATGCATGTTTGAAACAAATGAAATAAGGTCACGCAAAAATTTGAATTATAATACCAGTTTCCTAAGATTTATTTTTATAAAGCAATTCCCCATGCAATTTCTGTGATACAATTTGCAGATATTGAAACAAACGAGATCAAATATATAAGCAAGCATACTTGTTTCCTTTGTAAAAAACGAGTAAGTTTCCTCATAAAACCTTTCCTTGTCGATCTAAGAAAAGAAAAAACACAATGATAAGCTTATATAAGCACACTAAAATAGCTTTTTAAATGCTACTTGTGATTAAAAATTTTACCAAGCTTCCATCTAAAAAAAATTAGTTCGAAAGAAACTGATTGCATGGATTTATTCTTTGTAAACTCAGTTTACAATCAATAATATATTTATTATACATATATACAGTATACTGAAAATATTTAAAATATATACATATCTTACTTATTCCACAAAAATGGCATGCAGTAATATTTTTGTAGGTATGTAGAAAACAACTGAGAATTTTTTACATAAGGAAAAATGGATAAACTTAAACAAATTTATATTTAACCAGTTTCTGATTCATCAATAAAAAGATTTAAGACACATGAAAATAGATAGAATGACAACTGAAAGAATAATATAGATTATGATATGAAACAAAAATTTTTGACAAAGATTTTTCAGTGATATCAAAAATTTAAAATAGCATTATTTTTAGAAAAGAATATGTACTTACAGTGAAAATATTTCTTTTCACTTTTTAAATTTATTTCTGGTTTTAAACAAACAACAAATTGAATTTTGTTTTTGAATGCAGATATTGAAGCACAAATCAAACTGTCAGCAACAACTCTTAAAGAATGCAGTTGTAAAGAAATTACTGCTAAATTCTATTTTTTGGTTGTTTCTAGAATTTTTGGTGTTAAGAATAAAAACAGCATAAATAATGTATGTTTTGCTTTAAGTTACATATCACCCACTTTGCTCTATTAACTTCTTCCATGCCTCTGGATGTTGTAATGACATATTTCAAAGAGTTTTGTCGTCTGCCAATAAAATAATATTGCAGGTAGTAGCATGCCATCAGTGGACAGGGATTAGACTAGTTCTCTAACATTTTATGTAAGCCACTGACTGACAAGGCCATGCATGTCAAACTCACAATCCGTGGTCCACAGTGAAAACATTTGCAGTCCAGCCAATGTAACTCTATGTTACAAAAGTTTTAATACAAAATTCACAGACAAATTTCTAAAATGTCAAATTATGTATTATTAATAACACAGCATTTGCTGATGACTGATTACAAGTCGTATTGCATTGATGCACCATTTTCCGCATCAATGATTGTGATCATTTTAGTAACTGATAATAATAGCTACCCCAAATCCTCCACTGCTAAGGTTTCACAAACTAAGCTGCCTTGACTGCTACCACTACCACAAAATTCATTTAAATCTCAATACTTTATTTATGTCTGTTATATTTTATTTAAAATGATTTCACTTTTCAAAAACGCAACCACATTTCAATTCAGTAGTAATGTTTTTTTATTTTTTTCCCCTTTTAACATCTTGTTCCTAGCATCATGGCCTATTGATAAGTGTGCCTCATGAAGTACGGTAAAAAGTTCTTTAGCCCGGGAGCGTGCACGCTCTTTGGTCCAAAAGACCCGGGTCATGTTTTTTGAAGAAAAAAAAACTGGTAAAAGTGTTGCATTTATGCCAAAATTTTATGATCGAACTTAAAAAATATGCAAACTATAAAAATTAAAATTTTAATTTCTATAATATTTTTTATGAAATAAATTTTTTAAGCATAGAAAAACATATTATATTAATATAGAATTTATTAGGAATTCATTATATTATTATTCAGGTTATTCAGTAATTATTATTCGGTTTTATCAGGAGTATACTGCCTGAAAGAACATCTTTCTTGGAAGGCTTCAAGTTTTTCATTAACTGTTATGAATTCACCGACAGTGTAATATTTCTGGCAATTATTCACAAAATCTTTAAAAAAAACTTTCTTATAGGTGCAAGTTTATCTGATTCTTTCTTGACCACGCAAGTTAACTATGTCATCAAAATGCAAACATCTTTATAAAAAAAAGAAAACATTGTAGGACATAGTTTTGTGGAAAATTTCCAAGCCGGTTTCATCTGTTGCCCACACGTCTACATGAGATGACTTATGTCACAAAAATTATAAAAGTGCGAATTTCAGTTAGAGTTGTGGTATAAGCATCTCTCTCTCTTTGAAAGCTGTCAGAAATAGATGCAATATAAATATTTGTATAACTGACGACTTTCAGCAACGTTTGTTCAGTAAAAAGTTCCCACGATTCATTTAGAGTCTACACATATTTTGCCTTACCGATGTTTCCAGGCAATTTAGTAATAATATTATGAGCAGGAGTTCTAACATCAACTTTAGGCTCTCTCTCTCTCTTTTTTTTTTTTTTTTTTTTTTTTTTTTTTTTTTTTGTCTTTTCCAATAAAGCAAAAAATGTCATTCTCATTTTCGTTTTCAGAATGCATCTCGATTTCTGAATCAGTATCATGAGAACTAAAAAAATTCATTATAACTTTCATCATCAGTTTCTTCAACAGTTGAGACATCTAATAATTTTGCAAAGGTAAGGTTTCTTCTTTATAGGATAAATTACGCAGCTTTCTGTGCTACCACAAATGAACTACCTTACAGCAATGCGAATAGGCACACTGGATCTGAAAGACCCGATCCGATTAAAACAAAACTTCGAATCCCATTTCCAGTGAAAATCTTCGGAAACATAAAGAGGATGGCCTTGGAGGAGACTACACTGAACCACAAGCACTTGGGGAAAACAGGGGCGTTTTCAGGAAAGTTTCTTTAATTGGGCGGGTCCATTGAACCCAACGCACTCGTGGGTTAAAGTAAAATTAAAATCTAACACTGCAGCTGTTTTTACTTACAGGAAAGGTGTTTTTCAACACTTCCTATTTTCATTACAACATATACTTTTAGTCTTATTATTCCAGTTTTTTCCCACTACTTTTGCTTTTATTATTACTCGCTTTTTAACGTGCCATCATATCTCTTTTTCAGAAAGCCACTATTAGCTTCCTTAGTACTTATAATATTAACTAAGTAGGAATTGAAGTGCTCAAGCATACCAGCCATTATTCAATATTTTATAAAATATAAGAGGGTAGCAAAAATTTTTTTAGTCTGCACGAGATTAGAAATACTATTGAAGTCCTATACCACCAGTTCATGCACACAGTAGTGAATATGACATTGGCAGAGATCGCCAATCATGAACAGGCTGTGTTATTTGAGCATTGTCATGCATTGGCTAACAGTCTACTTCATGATAGAAGCACAGCAGCTGTGCAAATTGGATGAATTTTAGTAAAGTTATGGACATTACAAGTTGAAAGTTTACATGTTTGCCATTACAAGTTGGAAATTGCATAAGCAAACCAGTTAAAATGAACATGTTTTCAATAATTTATCACCTTTACCAAATTTAGAGACAATTATGAATAGTCACCCCAGTCTTTACGCAAAATCACCAATTAATCACATTTACTATAATATATACATATATTTCAAAATACATCCAAGAAATTACGGCAATGTATTAAAAGCACATCAATCCAGGTATATAGTATCAAAAGTATTTTGGCCTAAAAATCAAGAAAACTTTCTCACAGCAGTTTTGAGCTTTCTTAAGGACACCTTCTAACAGTTGGACGGTAACATTTTAAAGTATATTTTTATGTAACATTAACAATTTTACATCTTTTGAAACTGCACAATATTTGATTTAGTCAAGTTTTTGTGTGAATGGTAGAAGCTAGAGTTGTGTCAGTCTTCATTACTTGTCTCTCACATTTTTGGGAATAATATATTTTCAAAAGACACAAAAATAATGGCAAAAGGTACAACTACTCCACATATTTTCATTTGTACAAGCATGACACATTATAACTATCATTCCATAGATCATTCCATTGCATCATATCATTCCATCATACTTGGAATATTATATAATTTCAAAATAACTAACGAAAAAGCAAACTAAGTAATCTGCTTTGCTGGCTTATGAGCCCTTTTTCAGATAATGTTTTTAACTAATTATTTATTTTTTACAATATCCATCAGATTTTTAAAAAATATTTTTTGAATTATTGTTATAATTCATTAGACAACATTCAAAGTTAAAACATTTTTTTTAAAAAATAGAGATTAAAGACTAAGATAATCATCAATGAAAAAATTTAGGACTTATTAGCAAACAGAACTGAATAAATTTAAGAAATTACCTATGCAATTGCTTTCAATCTTGCAATACCATTCTAAAAATAAATCTGAAGCATGCATTATTATTAAAAATACTCTTAATCTTGTTTCAACATAACTTTAAAAACAAGTTTGAAAATGCAATTCTAATTGTTTGACCACAGAAAAGCTGACTGCCATAATATTGGGAAAGAGAAAGTGTAAGTTATTTATAAGTGTATAGTATAACAGGGCCATTTAAAATATTGTTGCACCAAAAGATGGAACTTCCCCTTTCTAATCAGTATAATATGATCACCCGTGGGCAACATTCTTGGTGATGAGATGATAAAATATGGCTTTTACATATTCCTGATGAATGCATTCAATGGCTTTTACATATTCCTGATGAATGCATTCAGTTGCTAGTATTGGGCCATTTTAAACAACAACAGTTTGAAAGTACAATAAACTCTTCTAAATTTTCAATAGTTGATATAAAATCCTAAATATATATTTTTTTAAACACATATATTTTACAATTAAAATACTGACACACATTTTAAAAAGAACTTATATGGTCGTTATTAAAAATTTCTTTTACTTTTTTAATTATTTGTTAAAAATATAATTTTTTAACTAATTTGTTAATCATGAACTAAACAAATTTTTCACTTTGAAATAATCTTTTTTACTCTGAAATGTTTTCAGATATTTTAACTTGTTTACATCTAAGTTTCATTTGTTTTAAACAAACAAATCAATATTTCTACTAGTCACAGCAAATTTGTTTATCTCAAAACAAAAAATATCTCTTTGAAGAATTTGCTTTACATACCAATTTTTTCCCAAAGATTTTTTTTTTTTTTTTCCCCTTAATCTTTAAATCAAGATGGTTTTTTTTTTTTTTTTTTTTTTTTTTTTTTTTTTTTTTTTTTTTTTTTTTTTTTTTTTTTTTT